TCTCTTTGTGACTGCAGTCAACTCCATGCGACCTTGTGTTAGATCAATGCTTAGCCAACTTTTTACACTTAGGCTTCTTCCTAATAAGCCCATAGGCCTCTGGAGCTAGGAATGCATACTTTACATAAAGTTACCAACCCAGCCAAGTGGCAGGTTACAAGCCTCATTAAAATGAAATTCAGTACCAAAAAGAAAACACAATCATTAACGCCTTTCAACTTGTATATTCTAATTAATTATATTTTACTCACCTCAGAAATATTCATCTGGATGGAGGCATGGTCTTTAGCACCAATTATCCGGTTGCTAGCAGAGCTGAAGGGAAGAAAAGAAGCCCCATGAAAATATATAAAAGTTCACGGCTAGAAAATCTTGCCCTGAAGACAACCACCATTGTCTTACAGCAGCTGCACCCACTCTTGGCATGCCTGGGGAAAAACCCTGCACTCTTGAAATACATGGAACTTATGCCCTGGGCATAGCTCTTTCTGGAATCCTCAACTTAGCCTTTCTGTATTTTAAATCCTGCTTGTAACCACCTTACCTTTACTACAGTTGAGCTGGCAGGTGTATGCACCTATCTATGCGATCATCTTTTTTTCTGCTGTAGCAGCCAAATAGCTCAATCTTATTATTCTTGTTTATTAAATTTGCATACCACCCTTCATCTGTAGATCGCAGGGTGGTTCACAACGTAAAAATACAATATAAAAAACAAGAACAAACCAAGAACCCCCCTTTGAGGTTATTAGATGTTAATCGGCCAAAGGCTTGGTGTAACCCCCACACCCTCCCCCCAAAACCCACAACTCCATGCTAACATAGCAACTGACAAATCAGTAAATCATAGTTTGGTATTCTAAGAATGAACCCCAGTGAGCCTTGGGCTCACACACTCCTTCAAGCAGCATGGGCACAAGTAGAAGTTTGGAAGCTTTTGTTTCTGTTTAAGATTAACTGCAGCTTGCTATGTCACCCAAACCTGGACACACTGTGCTCAATCTTAACTATGGACAGTTGAAACGAAGTCAACTTCAAGTTATAGTTCATCAAGCTAGCTTGCTTCAAGTACAGTCATACATTGGGTTAAAGTTGCTTCAGGTTGAGCGTTTTTGGGTTGCGCTCCATGGCGACCCGGAAGTAACGGAACGCGTTACTTCTGGGTTTCACCGCTCGCGCAGACGCTCAAAATGACATCACACACATGTGCAGAAGCGGCGAATCGCGACCTGCACAAATGCCCGTTGTGTTCGCTTCAGGATGCGAATGGGGCTCTGGAACAGATCCTGTTCACATCCAGAGGTACCACTGTATCTGTACTTAGTATTAACCAGCTTGTCTTAGGCTGGATGACACACTGAACTGCGGAAGCTCCTGTGCTCTTCCTCCAGTCATGCTAGGATGTCAGGTTGGGAGCACTTGAGCCCAAGGAGTGTTATTGTATGGCTAAAGCCATGATTTAACCACATGCCTGAATGTGCCATGATTTTCTTCAAGTTGCCCAAGTCAGACTGGTAATTTCCATGGATAAATTAATACACACCATTTACGAGGAACGTAGAGATCCACAAATTCTCCAGCGTCGTTCTGCATTGTTTTTCTAGGGTTTTGCCACAAGTGACGTGCAACAGGAAATTTCTGACAAGATATGTTAAAAGATCAGTACTTAGCAGATGGTTGTGACTGAAAATTACAGAAAAAGCCTCACCCCCAGCAGTCTCAGCAACCTATCAGAGTCCTTATCTTCCAGCATCTTCCCATCTGTTATGCACCTATTTAAAACTACATTGTGTGTATTAATTTAATGAAGCAGGAATATTTCTTTTTAAGTGTTTATTTTTGTTTAAACTCTCAGTGTAAGCAGGAGCACTTCCCTAGAATATTAAATTATAACAATATTATTTTATTTTAAGGTAGGTAGCCCTGTTGGTCTGATGCAGTCAAAATAAATTTAAAAAATTGTCCAGTAGCACCTTAGAGACCGACTAAGTTTGTTCTGGGTATAAGCTTTCGTGTGCAAACTTCTTCAGATACTGGACAGTATTTTTATGTTCAAGTTAACTGCTGTTGTATGATACTGTATTCCTAATGCTATAATGATCAATGGGCGTTTTCCATTTTTGCCGCAGCAAGTCTCTTCAATGCAAAGTAGGGTCTGTTTACTTGAAAACAATGCAAAATTATTTAATTTATCAGGGAGGTGGTACTCAACTAAGTCAGAGTAGACTGCCTTCAAATTTTCAGAGATGAGATTATCTTAACAGTGACTTACTATCTTTACAGCCAGAGTTGGGTCTACTCTTAGTAAAACTCAGAAGAGACATTCATAACATGTAAAAGAATAATCCATGAATAAGAAATGTAAGATTCAGAATTACACACCCACTCCACACTGTATGGCAGCCTAGACTTACCTAAATACATTCTCTCACCTAAATCCCACTGTCATCTCACCTGTACTGAACTTGAGGAGGGGTGGAGAGAGGAGCCAATTCCACCTCCCACTTAAGTGGAAGATATCGTTCAATGATTAACAGATGAAAACAAACACATTTGTGCATTTACTGCACTTCCAATAAAAAGAAAATAAGTACATGAACAGCCCCTCCCCAAAGCAACAATTTCTACCTGCCTGATATTAAGAGCACAGGAAATTGCCTTGTACGGACTCCGAAACAAGGGTGTTTGCAAACTGAACACAACAGGTTTTACCCTTTTAAAAATTGTGCTCCATTTCAGGCTGCAATTCTCAATTCACACTTAACTTTCTGGATAGGGAGCTGCCTAACACAGCACCAGACCTTTTGTCCATGTAGCTCAGCTCTAACTACACTGGCTGGCAGCAGCTTTCCAGGTTTTCAGACAGGGTTCTTTCCCAGCTCTACCCAGATATGCTGAGGATAGAATCTGGGATATCTGCATGCAAAGCAGATGCTCTGCTACCTGGATTCATTTCCTGCAACACAGGTAAGATGCACACAAAAGCCCCACAATAAACTCTAATTACTATTTTCTCAAAATTCCTTGGATACGTCTACCGAGGAAATTGGCTATGAAATCCTGCTTTTAGGCAAAAGCCAGTACCAACTCTGCTCATCCACATGCCTATTTGTTTAAAGAAATTCTGAAATTGCTAGTCTGCAGCTGAAATCAAGGAGTATATATTTAAAATCTTTTGCATTTATTGCACCTGCCATACAATGTGTGTGTGTGCGCGCGCGCGTGTGTGCAAACACTGGCATCTATGAGTGCATTATGCATTAAACATCCCTCTTGAATCATGGCAATAACCAAATCCAGTGTACTGTAAAGCCTTTGACTATTCACACCTCTCTCTTAATGCAGGAACTGTTTGTAAACAGGGAAATGGCAGCACAGCCAAGAAACCCCAGAATCAGCCACGACTGGACCTAATGGTCAGAGGTCCCTTTACCTTTACTTTACACCGCCCCCTTCATCTGAGGATCACAGGGAGGTTTACAAACACAAAAGTGCATAACACAGTAACAAACTAAAACACCCCCGACCCCCCAGTTTAAAAGGCCAGATTGTTTAATTAGCCAAAAGCCTGGGAGAAGAGGAATGATTTGGCCTGGCACCTAATGGTATGTAACAAAAGTGCAAGTTGAGCCTCCCTGGGGAGAGCATTCCACAAATGGGGAGCCACCACAGAAAAGGCCCGTTCTCATGTTGTCACCCTCTGGACCTCTTAATGGAGGAGGCACGTGAAGGGCCTCGGAGGATGATCGCAGGGTCTGGGTCTGTTCATATGAGGAGAGGCAGCCCTTGAGGGTATTGTGGTCCTGATCCATTTAAGGCTTTATAAAGGTAAAGGGACCCCTGGGGTTGCGGCGCTCATCTCGCTTTATTGGCCGAGGGAGCCGGCATACAGCTTCCGGGTCATGTGGCCAGCATGACTAAGTCGCTTCTGGAGAACCAGAGGAGCGCACGGAAACACCGTTTACCTTCCCGCCGGAGCGGTACCTATTTATCTACTTGCACTTTGACGTGCTTTCGAACTGCTAGGTTGGCAGGAGCAGGGACCGAGCAATGGGAGCTCACCCCATCATGAGGATTCAAACCGCTGACCTTCTGATCGGCAAGCCCTAGGCTCTGTGGTTTAACCCACAGCGCGACCCGCGTCCCATTTGGACTGGTTATGGTATGGTACATCAAAAGGGGTGGTTATAGGTGCATCAGGCTTTATACCAGCACTTTAAATTGGGACCCGAAACTTAACTGGCAGCCAGCGGAGTCGGGCCACAGATCGGTGTCATATGCTCACACCGTCTTACAAGCCGGCTGCTGAATTCTGCACCAGCTGAATTGCCATCTTGGCCGTTATTTGCACAGACAACCTGTTGCTGCCCGGAAATCAAGGTAGGTTAAGTGAAAGGCTGAGGTTAGCAATTCGGGGGCAACAAAAAAAGAACCGGATCGCCTGCTGGCAGCAGCTTTCTAGGGTTTCCGACGGGGATCCCTGCAAGACCCAGAGTCGCTCTGGGGGGAAGTCAAGTAGGGTGTGTGGAAATCTAAAGCGCCCTGAGGCACACAAGCGACTATATATATATATATATATATATATATATATAAATATAATTTTATATACTAATATACTACTATACTAATATGTATACACAATAGTAAGTAAAATAAAAAAATTGTGTGTATATATATATATGTCCCCTCACCCCCTGGGCCTCCCACCTCGGGGCAGAGGAAGCAGGCGACCCCCGGGAAGAGGGAAAGCTGGGAGCGGGCGGAGGAATCAGCTCAACCGACTACGCGCCTCCCCCCCCCCCCACCTTTCAACCGGCCACCTCAGCGAGGGAGAAATCACGGCCCGCCCGTCCGGGAACACGGAGCAGGCCTCAACTCACCTCCTCACACGCCGCGAGCCCAGGCCGGAAAGAGAGACCGAACGTCACTCAGAGGCGACTACAAAGCCCGCAGCGGCGGCAGCGCGCAGGCGCAAGGGAACACGAGGCGTGCGCGGCGACGTCACGCGCGCACCGGTTTCTAAGCCTGGCGGCGCCGTGAAGAGCGTCGGCTTTCGAGTGGGCGGGGCAGAAGAGGCCGTTATGAAATGGGCGTGGCTAAAGAGGGTGAGTGGTTTTTTGGGGGGGCGTTTCTGGGCTGTGCGCAAAAAGGCGGGAATTTGGAGAAGCTCGTCGCTGAGGAGAATGAAGGGAGCAAGTGATATTATTATTGCTTCGTAACATTTAATGCGCCTTTTGACTGAGAAGAAAACCCAAAGCGGTTTACAGGAAGATGATAAAATCGAGAAAGATTCAGAACCGTGCTTTCAAAACCTACACAAGTTAAAATATTGAAAACAGATTAAAATCACTTCCTAAGTACCTGGGTAGGCTTGTCTGAACAAAAATGTTTTCAGCAGGCCGGGCAAAAGGCTTCTGCTTGATCTCAATAGGCAGGGAAAAGATACGAGCAAGAGACGACGGTTCACTTGTATTTCCCACATTACCTCATATATCACAAGGAAAATAATGGACAGTGCGTACAAACTGCAGCTAGAGCTTTAAAGCGCATTTGGAGCACATGTTCGCTCCCATCAAGTTGGTTTAAATGTCGCTGGCAAGGGAGAAGAGGAGTAAATTGCAGTGCGCAGAGTTCCATGTTGGTGTGTGAGGGCAGAGGTGGGTGTGAATTGAGCAGAATGGAAGGCGAGGGGAGGGATACCCCCTGCCCGAATTTTGGCCTTGCAGAGCGCGCCACTGAAATTTGAAAGACCAAAGTCTGCCCCTGGCAAGGGAAGGAAAATACTGAAAATTATTATTCTGCTCGGGTGATGGTACACTTGGGGCCTTTTTTGTTAGCTCACGGGAACTCCGTTCTGACACTTCTCAGGTGGGCGCCATTGCCATTACAGTGGTGCCTCGCAAGACGAAATTAATTCATTCCGCGAGTTTTGTCGTCTTGCGATTTTTTCCGTCTTGCGAAGCACGGTGTCGGAAAAGTTTTGGAAAAGCTTCAAAAATCACCAAAGTCTTCAAAAACCGCAAAAAAGGCTACCACACCGCGTGCTATGAGTTGCTCCTCGAAGTCAAGTCGCAACTGTATTAACAGTGTTAAGAAAAAGGAAACAAACTTGCAAGACGTTTCCGTCTTGCGAAGCAAGCCCATAGGGAAAATCGTCTTGCGAAGCAGCTCAAAAAACCAAAAACCCTTTCGTCTTGCGAGGCATTTGTCTTGCGAGGTACCACTGTATAATAGAAAAAGGGAGGCGTTCATGGTGAATTCTGGCACCTCTTTTTCCAGAAGAATAGTGCTGGGTACACTCATGTTTGCAGTTGCCTGTTTGCTATCAGATATAGTAGAGCAGAGTGTGGTATACGTCTGGGTTTATGTCTGGTAATCGGGCTGCAAAATGGCATCGACAGGCGCTTTTTTGGCTAATGGGTAAAATGTCTGTGAAAACCCGCATGTATGACAAGTAAGTACCGTATTTTTCGCTCTATAACACGCACCCAACCATAACACGCACATAGTTTTTAGAGGAGGAAAATCCGTAGGCATGCCACCCGTAGGCATTCCATCCATAACACGCACAGACATTTCCCCTTACTTTTTAGGAGAAAAAAAGTGAGTGTTATGGTGCAAAAAATACGGTAAATGCCTTAAAAATTCCAAAGCCCAAAAAACTGTACATTTCAACAGATGTTCCCAAAATAAACAACAACTTTGGGTGTTGGTGTCAAAGCAACGCAACCACCTTGTCCAGATTTGGGGAATCTTATTCTTTGGCCATCATTCATAGCCGAGTAAGATTGCCTTCCATCAACACGGTTTTAAAAGTGAGTCCTTAAGTGAATATGGCAACCCTAGCTGTCAACTAGCCAGCTCTGTAGCACATGTGCTTTGCATTTTATTTGCATTTGTAGACAGCTGTGAAATGCATATACATGCTTTTAATTAGTATATGCTCCAGTGCTCCATGCACCTAGCTGTGATGCACACTGTACTGTAGGGTGCTAGAGGAAAGTTCTGAAAGAAAATTTATCAAGTCCGTTTTAGTAACCTCTTCTATGAAAAATTCGGGATACAGCATTCTTGGGAGTTACTGGGCCTAGGAATCCACCCGCCAAGCATGGCGTATTAGGGCTGACACTCGTCCTTCAACTTCCATACTTGGTGACTACAAGCTGCCGTTTAAAATTTGCCACAGTGCACGAGCTTGATGCTGCATTGCCGCATGTTAAATCAAAGGTTTTTTGTTAATTGAATAAAAATAATGGATGCAATGCTACATGGCAAGACCCTAGATCCATAGATTTTTTTCTATCTGGACCCCAGATAGAAAAATCTATCTGCAAAGGCAGGCACTTATAGAAAGACATATAATAAGGGTTGCAATTATTGTTCTCCCAAGCCTTCTCAAGCTGCTTGCTTCTGCAACATTTTGAATGGGCAACTCAACTCTGGTCACTTATCTAAATATATCTCTGATCAACTGGCATAAAAAGGCAGGCACTGAAACAGATGCCCTGTTTGTACTTATAACTGGAGCAGTCGTAATGAGCTATTTGTGGATTTTTTTTCTATTTATACAGCTGCTGAGAAGAGTCAACATCTCATCAGCTGAGGAATGAAATGTGTAACTAATTTATCATGCTTACGTACATGAAGTTTTCTTCAAGCCCATCAGAACTGAACTTTGTTTCAAATATTTACTGCAAAGTAATTATTATGTAGTTTACTTTTACATCTGTATCACACTGCCAAAAAATTCAAGCGAGGTAGGAACAGCAGGCTCTAGTGGCATTTTGGCCTCAGGAAATCAGTAGAACACTGCAAAAATTAGAAATACTGTACTCTGGTACTGCAGATTAGATATGCTAACGCAGGGCTAGCTCAGATGTGTACTGCAGTTCCAGCAGAATGGCCAATAGCCAGGGATGATAGGAGTTTTAGTCCAAAACATCTGGAGGGCACCAAGTTGGGAAACCTTGTGCTAAAGTAAGTGTGCCAACTTCCAACACTACTAAATCTAGAATAATGCAAAGTATATTTTATACTGGTGGATTTTTAAACATAAAACGCTTACTTTTCAAGTTTATGGCATGTGCTTAAAAAAAACCAACTACAAATCTGCAAGCTTGTATCTTCAAGGTAGAGTATAATTCAAAGTTTCACTAAAAAGCACAAATATAGCAGAAAAAATGTGAATGTCTGCTATAGCCTTATTTTGTTTACGTTTTTCAAAGTTTTGCCACAAAATGTGTCAATTGAAATCTGATCATCACTGTAAAAAACAGGAATGTATAAGAAAACTGCATGCAGCTGGTTATTTAGAATTCTAGGTAACCCACCCCAATGTAACATATCTTTGTATCTCTGGTATATGTTCCAAAATCTAGTCATTTCCCCCATAGTAGTCCTAACTTACTTAACTAACTTACTTATTTTGCATAGGTGGAGGGGGAAAGAAGAAAAAGACATGCAAACTGTTTTTTAAAGGAATATTTATGACACTAACCTGAAGTATCTTCAGGTGTGCTTGGTTATAAAATGGGTATCAAAACATTCAATTACACAGCATCTTATTAACAAATCCATTCATTTCCTTGGAAGAACATAATCAGACAATATACAAAGCAGGAACTTAAAATTTACGACAGCACAAAAATATTATTTACATAAATATACAAACTCCAGTCCAGAGTGTTTTCTTGGGCTGAAGGTAGACAAGCACCATTATTTACATAAGATTACATAATTTAAACCTCAACTGTTAAAGAGACTAGTATCTCTCTCCAACGAAAGCCTGGGATTTTACAGTGGATCTATGTTTGGTTGTAATAATATTTTTTACCACACAGTGGCAGCTTTTGCATGAAAAAGGAACACAAAGAGGCATAGCTGATTGAGAATATGAACCAAAAAAGATAAGGTAAGAAAATGTGAACAGCACCCTTCCACCCCACCCCTCAATTCACATACAACACAGGATTCAAGAGCCAAACTGTTTCTATACAGGTTGAGTCACAGCAATAAGATTCTCAACATACAAGTCAATTGGCAAAGTTCAAAATGGACAATTTGATACTCAGTTCTTCATCTTTAGGTCCCTTGAAACAACATTTCTCTTGAGTTATGTATATGATGCTGGACCATGGACATCTTCGAAGGCTTAATACAAGCACATACCCTATATATGATAAAAGGGCGCTGGTAATCCTTTGCTTAACACATGGGCCAGCTGTTATCTGTAGGTACATTTGTGCAGAGATGAGAGGAAAAGGGAGTCCAGATCTTGATTGGAGGCTACAGTCTTCATCCTAGAACTTACTACTTTGAAGAATTATAAATCCAGTTCACTAACAGAACTGATACACCCATGCACTTTCCCTTGGGTATTCAGAACAATGAACATGCTCTGAGTGAAGATCAAGCCTTAAAACATGTAAAATAATTTATCTTTCTGCCCCACAGCCTGAATAATATTCTGTGCAAATTAAATATATGATAATACATTATCCAAAATTCACATACGTCATATTGGAAATTTACAGCCTCCAGAAGCTCAAATATATCCCAAAAGAATCAATCTACTTCTCACCTCATCACCCCTATTTTTGGTTGGACAAGGTAATGATTGCTTCAGCTGGGGGGTGGGATAAGTTGGCAACTATTTCAACTCAAACACAGTGTGTTAATACAAGTCAATTGTGTTCATGATACAAGACTGATAGGTTTTTAAAAAAGCAAATTCTTTCAGTTTCAGGCAGAGGATTAAATGTTTTAACACTCTGTGAAGCCATTTCTAAACTTTATCATGGGAACAGTTAGGATGTTGTCCTGCATTGGCAAAGTTTACTGGGAAATAAACATACTACAGCTCACATTTTGAACAGCACTAGTTAGTAAGCTATATAGCTCCTTGTACTACATTATACAAAAAGATGCTATAACTATGACTGGTGTTATTATAGCTAGATGTATTAACACACAAGCCTTGGTCAGAGAAGCGTTCTTAACTAGGTTTGCTGCAATTTCAGTGACGTCAAGCTGGCCTTATCTAAAATACTTATCCAAATGGTTTTATATTCATGCATAGGTGCTAGAAACAGGAACCAAAAAGCCAAGGAAGGTCTCTTCATGTACAATAATCTTATCTGGAGTTTGGCATTGAACACTGCACACCCTTTTTCAAATGTTTCTAGCACCAAACTTTGCTATTCTCTCTCCCCTTCTCTGGTTTATTTTGTGGCTACTCAATACGTATACCCAAGTTAGAATTTATGGCATTCTGGGTACTGGAAGTCATATAGCCCTCTTGACTTAACCATTTTTGAGAGACAATCTACAGGCAGAGATATTAAAAATTGTGGACTATACCACTTCAGACTGCAGCTGTGGTGGTAGCTATTAATCTTTGAATGATCTCTTGTGTGAGAAACTCCCTGTATTTAATAAAAGAGCACATCGGGAAGAACGCTTTATACTGTACATGGCTTTTCACCAGTGTGCTGGTTTACTACACATTGGGGTGTACTGTGTGCTTGAAAACATGATTCTGTGTTTGCACTGATACAGTCCACAATTCTTCCACCTTTGTCTACTATTTCATTCTGCATGATGTCTAGAACTGGCCAAAGTCACAGTTAAAAATAAATAAATCTATGAACATATCAAATCACAACACCCAAGAATATTAATTTTGTTCCCTGGCAAGTATCACACACACACACACACACACACACTGACTTGTATCACAATATTGCTTAGAAAAGAAATTCAGCAGCCGTCAACTTTTCTGTCACAGCACAAGAAGTTAATGTTGTTCATCCTCAACATCTGGATGGTTAAGCCAAAAACACCTGGCTAACAGTGGTAGAAGTTGTATCATTTTTATCAATGCCACTGTGTTGGATATTAACCTCAACGAGTTTGGCTGTCTGAATGTGCAATGAAAAGTCAGGTTCATGAGAACCATCACAGTGGCAAAAAGCTTGGAAGAACCAATTTTTCTGTTTGTTTTTTTACAAAAGATTATCGAAGTCAGACATGCCTATTTAGTCTCACCGGCTTAATTTAGAAAATGACAGCTGCACAAGCTGAGACACACACACTCGTCAAGAGCACACAGGAAAGACAATACATGGAATACATTGTTTATAAATAAAACAGTTCATCATTCTAGCCTACAGCAAAGCTGTGACAAAAAGATGCCACCTTTGGGAGCTACAAGACCAAATTACCACCATAAAAATCAACGGGCCTTCAGTCACACTCTGAAGGACAAGATAAAATGGAAATTGTTTTGCTATAGCTGCCTTGATCAACAAGTGCAATGTTTGGGAAATGTTTCAATAAAAAAGAAAAGTTTTTTAAATCATGAACGAAGTAGAATATTGTTTTCAAATATACATCTCTTCTGGAAATGATAGTAGAGATACAATGGAATTCTTTTCCTTATAGCACAAGGTGAACAAAGGCAAAAGGATAAATTGCTGTTTGAGTTCAGAATTTGCCACTAAGCAACAAAAAGAGAGCAAGAGAGAGACTGACTGGTACCAGCCCAGCTAAGTCTTAGGCACGTCTTTCTTTCTGCCCCGCACCCACCTCCCCTCCCCGCAAAAGAAGACAAGTTTCCATGGTTTTAAAATGCAATAATTCTCAGAAATGCTATTGGAAGCATATGACGTTTTGGAATGGAAATGATGCTCTTTTAGATTCAAGGAAGGGGTGTGGGGGGAGAATGGTAAAAGTTTAAGGAAATGAAAAAGTAGCAGTATTTGAAGGGAAGAACAGATTATATCCAAGGGGGAAAAATGGGGTGGGAAGGTAAATTAGGTTATGACCAGCAGCATTTGTGGCAAATGGCGGCAAACAATTTGTGCTTTAGTGTCCAAAGTCCAATGTCTCACTTCTGCCACTTCTCACACATGGAATCTGTGGTGTCTGCACCATCTTGGTAGCTCCACAAAAATCCCACTGCAGTCTTCATGTTGGGTATATACACAACATTGTTCAATATTGTGGCACCAGAAAGGACCAGAAGCCAACACCAAAAAATCAGCGTCTAAGTACTGGCACTTCTGCTAGAATGCAGCTTTGGCTAGGATTGCTGTGTAAGACGTCGGAAGTGAGGTAACACTTGGTTGTCAGGAAGGTAGAGGGCTAGTTCCAAAGCCACAAGTACGGTAAATTCAAATCCAATGAGATCTCTTCTGTTGAATCTGAATCTTTCTTCTAACTTCTGTAAGGACAGAAAACCAGTAAAACAGAACATGAGCTGGTTGCTACAGATTACAGTATTTAGTATGTTTTGCAGATGTTTAATGGTATTTTGGCCATCACCAATCTTTTTCAACCTGAGAGCCGCATTCTTTTGTGTGCAACCTTTCGGGGGCCATGCACTAGTGGTGGCTAGGGCTAGAAGTAAAAGCTGCTGTGGCACTATTATTATATTAGATACCTTACCTGCCCCAAGGGCAAAACCTGGAGCAGATTATGACAATTTAAAGATACAACATTAAAATTCAGTTTAACACCTGAAAGAGTCTGTAGGTAAGGAGGTTGTCTTTCGGATACTTGCAACCGAAGTCATTTAGGACTTTAAACAAGAATGTAAGCAACTTGAACTGGGTCTGAAAACAAACTTGCAATCTCTGCCGCTGTTTTAGAACAGGGGTCATGTGAGTTCTACATGAAAACTTGGCCAGTAACCTACTTGCTGCATTCTGGACCAGTTGAAGTTTCCACGTTGGGCAGCCCCACATAGAGCATGCTGCAATAATCCACCCTGGAAGTTATGAGACCATGGGGTACAGTGGCTATGCCATCTAAGTCCAAAAGAGCTTCCAGCTGGTGAACCAGCCATAGCTGGAAAAAAGGCACTCCTAGCCACTGAGGCTATCTAAGACTCCAGTGACAGCACTGGATCTCCCAAGTTATGGTCCTGCTCCTTCCAGGTGAGCACAACCCCATCTAGAACAACCTGTCTCCCAGACTTGACAACACGGGACACATCACACCTCTGTCTATTCAGGATTCACCTTCAACTTGTACATGTAGCCCATCACTACCTCTGAGGACTGGTCACTTCAATTGCCTCCCCTGATTCAGACACAACTGAGAGATTGAGCTGAGTATCAGTCACATGACACCTCGCTCCAAATCCCCTGATAAAAGCTCCCAATGGTTTCAGTTATGTGCACAGGGGACAAGATAGAACGCTTTGGGATGCCACAGGACCACTCCCATGGCATCAAACAAGGGTCCTCTAATAACTGCATTATGGAAATGGCCTTGGAGGTAGGAGCAGAACCACTGAAGTACAGTGTCCCCAACCCTGAGTCCCTGAGCCGTGGTCAACGGTATTAAAAAGCTGCCAAGAGAAATGAACAGGGTTGCAACTCTTCATCTTTCCCCTGACAAGAGTAATCTATGACTCTTCCCTTTCTCCTGCAGAGTTGACATTTCAGACACATGAAAAAGGTGCAAGTTTCTCTCTCCACCCTCCACCCTGAAACATCTCTGCTGTCCAAAAGGTACAAGCCTACTTCTGGTCTCAGTGCTAAAAACCATTACATGTTTTCATTCAAAAATTATATGCATAGTTTTAGAAAACAATGTGACTTGCAAGAACCAGCATTTCCACGGATCTGGACACTTGGGATGTTCTGGCGATACTTACATCTATAAGGTGTTTGACCTCGTGTTTCTTGAGATCACTACTAATCTTGGCTGCAAGCAGCACACAAGCACCAGCACACAGTTTTCGGTTCTGTTTGTTGAGCTTGCCTTGCAGGACAAGCTTTTCGAAGTAAACGTAAGCCATGGACACAGTTACTGGCTCCAGGTTGCATTCCATACTCAGGTTCCGCATCTCCCGCTTTAAACTGTGGGCACAGAAAGAGGGAAAGAAAGCTAATTTTGCTTCATATAAAAAAAAGGTTACCACAACTTAGGAAACAAGACTCTTAATTCTTGAATTCTCATTTCTGCTTCTTGTCAGATGGTCTGTGTTCGCTGCAGAAGGTAGCTGATGTTTGTATGCTTAGGAGAAGGAAGAAGAGGGCTCGTTTTTGCACACATCCATTGTGATGTGGATCAAGCAACATGATATGCATTAGGCCCCAGTAACATATGAATTGCAAACACATGGCTGGATTAATTGGAGTGTCCTCTCTGACTTTATTTGCATCTGGAGAAAGCAGAACTCATTCTAATTTTGCAGGTAGGCATTGAGCGAGGATATGGGTACATAGCTGCCGCAGTGAGAAGTTGCTTAAGACTGCAGTGTTTGTTCTTGGCTGATGTTTGAAGGCTTTGGGGTTGAGGAAAGAACATGCACGGCTCTTTATCAGCAGAAAGATGGGGGATGTGGTGTGACCAAGTAGCGATCTTCAGGTGCCCAAAGAAGTGTTAATCCAAATGGAAGAGGAAGGAAGACACAAAATCAAGAAACCCCTCCTTCCTAGCTCAGGGGTCGGAAACGTCTTCAGCTTGAGGGGGACATACTCCTTTCTCGGCAACCTTTCAAGGGCCGGATGCCAGTGGACAAAAGTGAATGAGGCAATGGAAGTAAATGTTAGTTTTGGTTTATCCGCGTGCTCACGTATGCCTCTTGTCTGCCCTCCAGGCAAGCAAGAGGCATTATCAGAGTGAAAGGGTGTCTTCCAGCCAGGCAAAATAACTTGAGGCTGTGAAGCAGAGCAGGTAAAGTGTGTGGCCTCGGGGAGAGTATCAAGGGCCAAACAGAGGCCTAAGCCTGAGGTTTTACACCCCTGATTTCAATGATCAAGGAGTCCCTATCACCTACAGAACTATTATATCACACCCCAGCATCATACACTGCTTTCTAATAGGATCCTGACAAGTTATGGTGCAAGATGTCAAGCCAAGTTTACCAGGTCATTGTGGCGCACTTACTTACCCAGTGAACGTATTGGGATACACCTGAGTAAACCTACATAAGAGTGGTCTGAAAGTATCATATATTAATTACTGTTTGGGAGGAAAGAACCATGTTTCAAAGTGGTTTAGAAACACAGTAATGCACCCTCCTATCATCTTTACCATCCCTGTTTTAATTTACCTTCTGATTTTGCTTAGCGTCAGCTTGATGTGAGGAAACTTCTCTTTAAAGGTCTCGTTCATATCCTTCTTAAGGTCCGATGGTTTCACGTATTCTATTACTGTGGTCTAAAATAAAATAAAGGAAAGGGGTTTACAGATCCTTACGCTGCCATTACTGAAAGAGAATGAGAATAAGGATTAAGGATTCAAAGTGTCTCCATGAGAAACTAATCTACAGTAATGGGCAAATTAGGTGGTGCTTAGAAGGCTGAATTCAGAGTCTCCTTCCAACTCTCTCATCCCAGCTAGCTCTATCACAACTCATAGCACTGAACATCTTTTTTAACAAGATGCACAGCCTTCTTCTGTGACCAAGAGCCCATGAGCCTGGGTTTTGACTATTAGCCTCTGTCTTGTCAATCATAGATCAAGTCTTGTCTTCCACACGTTATTAGGCCGGACTGCAAATGATCTCAGCAGAGTTGAAAGTTTAGCATCAGCTGCACCACATCTTCAGAACAACGATGGCTTGAGATGGTATCCTGCTATGGGAAGTTCCTGCTATTAATCATCATTTGCCCTTGTACAGGATTACAGCCAAGTACTCCTGTATCTAGGCCATCATTGCAGAATCCTCGATGAGAAAAGTTTAATCTCTCCGAGGACAGAAGGTTTTCAAAGCTCTTGGGTAATCTCTTAATCCTGTAATACTTGGCACTTCAAGAGTGGTGCAGGACTGGGAACCTGAACAGGTTTTCTCTACGGCAGCACGCCCTAGGGACTATTAGCAAACTCCCAAGGAGCCTAGAAGGTAATGTTAGAGGTTAACTGGAGAGTGAGGGAAGGTGGCAAATCCCTCCCTCCCATGCCTTGACCTTTAGATGCAGTGAAGCAACAGTTCACTTTGAGCCCGTATAACTGGCTAGATGAAATGTGGGACTTTTGAGTTCATTAGGATTTACTCGCTGGATTAGACAAGGGCTCTGTCTAGCCTACCACCTGTTCTCCAATGGTGACCTGTCAAATACCCCTGGAAAGGTCATGAGCCACACATGATTAAGGATCCCCCAGTGTGTACCTCTAGGAACTGGAAATGCTTAGCATTTGTGTTCACCTTTAATGGGTTTAAAACACTTCGTACACGTTCTCAGCAATCCTTGCAACCATCTTGTTATGGCAGATCACTATTATCCCTATACTGGAGATTGGGTTGAAGAGGAAACTCTGAAGGATGGTGGCTTGCCCAAAGCCACTTGGTAAATTCACGCCAAGGTGATTCAGCAAATAAATAAATAATAGATTTTTTTTTAAAAAAAGAAATCAATCACCTGCTCAGCCTTGCGTCGAGACAAGAATGCTGACACCACCTCCCACAACAGCTCGTGTAGACAGCTAAGTACTGAAAGCTACATTGCGCTTCCAGAAGAGTGGAATAAGCACCACCTCTCACTTGTATTTATAACTTGCATTACACCCCCACACAGAAAACAGGATATATTGTATTTTTAATCTTGTATGGAAGCTGCCCGAGGAATGTTTATTGATGGGTGGCTATAATGCCAAATTTAAATGAAACATGCAAAATTTGGAAAAGGAGACATTTTTATTTGCACGGGGTCGTACGTAGTCAGAACCCAGGATCTGTACTACACTACGGCTACAATGCCTTATTTGCAAATTAATTTGCTCTACACCAGCTTCGTACCATGTACGATGCAAAGATGAGGACACGTTTGTGCTTCCCACAGGGCCACTGAGGATCATCCAGGAGATTGGGGTTGTACTCTGCTAACTCGCCAACTTCATTTCCTAGAAGTAAAAAAGAAAAGAAATGTACTAGGAGTTCACTGGCACAGTAAAGGAGAGCTTTAAAGAAAAAAACATGCAAGAAAGCCCTTCTAAGTAGTCATCACTATATCATGTGGGAACAAATTCCATTTTGCTCTGTGCGAACAAAGCATTTTCTGTGAAGAAGTGGTTTCGAGAAGGTTCAGGTAACAACCAAGGAAGGTTTTAGGAAACAAAGTATTAGCATTCAAGAAGACTTTATCCACGCGGATAAATGAACCCATTTATCAGAGCAGATCACTAGATGGACCAATCACCAGCTGTATCACTTCAACCCAAAGTCTAGCCTGTTTCTGCACTATGATGAATAATAAACCCTCTATATTCAGAAGCTCCGATACGTAGAACAAACACAAAAAAACATCCCTGCATGGCAGAATTACTACCAATTTCACAGGGCCCAGGAATCTCAACATGAGCACTCTGCAAGATCTCGCGAGATCTCTGTGAGAACTTGCAACCCATATAAGGGAGGCTTTGGCAGGGGTGATGGCAGGGCAGGGTGACAATTTCCCATTTTGCCTCAGGCAGTGAAGCAGGATGCCCCGGCCCTGGGAGGCCCCTATTCCCCTCCCAGAGCTATAATTCCCAAACTGGTTCAACAGCCAACCCCTCTTCCCTGGGAATTCTGGGAACTGCAATGGGGCCTTCCAATAAGTTTCAATACCCTTAACAAACTACAGTTCCCAGGATTCTTTGAGGAAAGCCGTTACTGTTTGAAGTGGTATTATATGGCTTTCAATATATAGGGCAGATGGGGCCTTACTGGGCACAGATGCTAACAACTTGAGGGTTGGGCAAATGGAAACTAAATGGAATGGCGTATCCTGAAAGAGGACAATCCTAAAACCCTGAACAGAAGCATTATATATTACATGGTTTTCTTACTGGTCTCACTTATATTTCTATAACTGTCTGCATTTTAAGCAGAACTGGCGTCCTAGTTTCAAATTCAAAAGGTAGCATTCATAAATTAGGACTTTTGAAACAGTTTGCAAAAGCCAAATGTTGGCGGGATAGGATATTTATTAAATGCCAGCTCAGTGTTACAGTAAAGTTGTTGGCACTCTGCCCAGATTCTTATAAGACCCATTTAAGGCATTGCTCTGATTCTCAGAAAATGTCTTGCTTGTATCCTTATGCCTACATATGGTTATGAAGCCCAAATAAATAGTTCTTTTTAGATGGTCCTGATATTTCAGTGCTGAAATTAAGCAACATCTAGGAATGAAATATTCCACTCAACCACAAGGAAATCTGATTAAATTGGTAGCATTTAAGAGCGGCTTTCTGAATATTCAGCATGCCTGAACATTTCCTGCAGGGGAATGGAAGCTGGTATCTTATCTAGGCAGAGTTTTGCTTTTTGAAATTGTTACCCTTTTGATTATAAAAATACAAGTCTGTAGCCCTTATTGAGGGACTACTGCCCTGGGAACTTCTTGGAATTATTAAATGAATAACTAAAAAAAAATAACAAGATGGGAGAAATTCAGCAGATTGGTCTGTTTGTCTGACTTTGCACAAAATTGATGATGATGATGATGATGATGATAACAACTTCCATCCCATCTTTCCTGCTGAAGGAGCCCAGTTATCCATTCTTCCTTAACAACAATTGGTTGAAAACATGCACATGAACCAGGCAGTGATACAAGTGGAGCTTGTGAGATGGGAATGTATATCTTCTGAGCAAGGACCTGTCCTTCCTGCGCTCATTATTCTAAAGTATCATGTACACTAAAGGCATTCTATTAATAACAAAGGGCCTTGAACCCTTGAAAGCTCAG